TTGGCGCCTGTGGCTCAAGTGGCTAAGGCGCCAACCACATACACCTAAGGTGGCAGGTTCGAATCCAGCCCAGGCCGCCAAACAACAATGACGGCTGCAACCAAAAAAAGTAGCCAGGCGTTGTGGCGGGCGCCTGTGGTCCCAGCTACTTGGGAGGCTGAGGCAGGAGACTTGCTTGAGCCCAGGAGTTGGAGGTTGCTGTGAGCTGTGGTGCTATGGCACTCTGCCCAGGGGGATAGCTTGAGGCTCTGTCTCAAAAAAAAAAGAAGAATCTATGTGTGGGACGTGCTGCTATATGCAGCATATGGTAATCATTTCCAGTTTACAGCTGCTAAGCCTGCTAGGAAATAATACCAATTGAAGCTGAAATAACTTAATAAATATCTCTCTTAAGAACTTATATTTCTTTATGGAATGATGGTCAGTGATTTTATGGTATCTGAATCTCCTTATTTCCCTGCAACTATCTCTGTCCACAGTTTTGACCCCGTTATGGTTTTGTGTCTATTCAGTTTTGTACCCGTTTGCACACAGAGCACTCCTGTATTGTACGTAGTCTGTGCTAGTGCTGGAAAGTGTGAAACTTCTAAAAGAAATACCTTCCTATGCCAAGGCTTAGGTCTCTGCTCTTGGATAGGTAAGGCTTTGCTTCTAAGCCTTATCAAGGTCAAGGCAAAAGCTACAAAAGTTATGATGGTTGCCAAATTAATGGTCAACAGAGCATAAATTTGTGATGTTAATACTTATGAATAAGAATATTATAATTAGAATTTCTCCCTTTTAAAGAACTGTGTAACACAGATGGTATTTAGATATATTTTTTCCGAATATTTATTCTCAGGTGTTTACCTAGGAAAACATAAAACAGCAGGATTGAATTAAAATTCCAACGAAAGGGAATGCCAAAGTGCTCTCTGGGTACATTTTATTTGGGAATATGGAGAAAAAAAGGAAATACACATAATGTTTAAAAAATAAATGCTACTTGCTGAAGACTCACGGAAATTTAGTTCAAGAATTACATTTACAAATCTCACAGCTTCAGTTCAATCAAAGTATGTTATCTGTGAGATGCGGCATAGCTGGGTCTAGAGATGTCCATCTAGCAAGGCTTGGGCTGTAGAGAACGGGCGCTTTTCTATTCCAGAGAGAGTGGACAGGGGTTGCACGAGAATCAGCATCTCTCTCTGCGCATACATGCATGAGTGTAGACAGGTTTGTGTATGTACACAGCGTCTCTCTCTGCGCATACATGCATGAGTGTAGACAGGTTTGTGTATGTACACGCGAGTGTATGTGCTCTGATCTGCGATGGCAGCATGGGGAGTCACAGCAGTAGCTCAGCCTCGTCTTCCCAGTGGCTTCTGAGAATTGTGTGTGTTGGCAACACTACAAAGTAGCTTTTAGCAGCAGAGGCCCAGAGGTGTATGGGAGGGTCTGCACACCACTCCCTGCTGAGGGACTGGCACTGGCGTTCTGCTCTCGCAGCTTTGTCTGCGTGTCTCATTCCCGCTATAGCTTAGAATGCCTGCCTTCCTCGAGAGGTGTGAGGACTGGATGAATGCAGCGGAATATCTCCAAGTGGCTGCCGCCGCCATGAGCAGAAAGCTCCGCTCACCTCATTGTGTTCCTTTAAAGTGACTGATGTGTGGGACAATGACTCGTGGGTCAGGTTGATTCCTTAGAATCTTAACTTCTCAACTCTCCATTGACCACTGTTGATTTAATCCTAAAATCCTCAGGCTCTGCTTTTGTTTATGGTCCTATGATTGATGGGGTTTGCTGTTTGTTTTCTTTAATGTACAAACAGGCAGAAATGCACATGTGGCATTTGGCCATGAGCACAGCAGAGAGAGAATTATGAATCAGATGAGTCAATTTGTGTCTGACCCTATGTCTTGCCTGAAATGTGGTTCTTGCCATGGGGCAGATGTAACCAAGAGATTCTTTTAGTCAGGAAGAATGTGGATGGAGCTCCTTGCCTTTAGCTGAACAACCAGCCTAACTGAATTCCATGGAGCAGACAGCTGCTTTTCTGCTCAGCAATTTGAGAAATGATCCATACACCTTGGGGAGAGCAGAATTGAGAGAACGTCTTGGGGAAAAACAGAGATGCATTTGCTGGAAACTTTTATGGCAGAGGGAAAACCCATGGGCAAATCCCTGGCATACTGAGATATTTATCTGTAATGTGACGTTTTTCTGTAGTGTTTTCTCAGGGAATCTTACTATATCCTACTGATAATGCGTCTGTTGGTCCACCAAACTAACAATAAACAGCATCAAAACCTGTACAAAAGGTAACAAGAGGGTTAAGAAAAGGAAAAGAGTAGAAGGTTTAGAAGGAGAATGAGGACTCAGATCCCTAAGTAGAAAGCACAGGGAGAGGTCTACGTGGATGCTAATGATTTTTTGCCACTAGTCTCTAAGAATTAGGTGAGCACTGGCTAAAAATGTAGATGTTCAGGTTTCCACCCAGATGTACTGAATCAAAATCCCCAGGAAAGGGATCTGGGAATATTATTTTAATAAACATCTTGGATGATTCCTGTGGTCAGACAAGTTGGGGAAACTGCTGTCATCTCATTGCTTTCTAGAACTGATGTATTTCCAGAAGTTGTGAGTGAATGTGTGTGTTGTAATTTTCAAGGATTTTAAAGTTAAAAAAAATTGTTAAATATTCTATTTGGCATAGTTAATAAACATTGCTTAATGAAAACATCTGATTTGTGTAGGGTTGCTTGGCTACAGAAGACTTCCTCTCTCTTTTTTTTTTTTTTTTTTTTTGGTTCACATATATTTTATGTCATTTGCTTTGTCATTGTGTCAAAACAGTTATATTCTAGTTCTAGAAAAGTTCACTTGTACCCTTGTTAGGCAGATACATAGATGATCTTTCCGGGCACCCTCCCACCACCCAGCCGCCCTTATCCCCTCCCCTTCTCCACCCCCTCCCCATATTCTTGAGCTAGAATTAAGTTGTATCTTTCATTTGAGAGCTATAAATTAGTTTCATAAAAGGGATGTGTACATTGGATACTTTTTCTTCCATTCCTGTGATACTTTGCTAAGAAGAACATTTTCCAGTTCCATCCATGTAAACATGAAGGAGGTAAAGTCTTCGTTTTTCTTTAGGGCTGCATAGTATTCCATGGTGTACATATACCACAGTTTATTGATCCATTCATGGATTGATGGGCACTTGGGCTTCTTCCATGATCTGGCAATTATGAATTGGGCTGCGATAAACATTCTGATACAAACATCTTTATTATAATGTGATTTTTTGTCTTCTGGGTATATACCTAATAGTGGAATTGTAGGATCGAATGGCAGGTCTATTTTTAGTTCTCTAAGTGTTCTCCAGATGAGAAGACTTCCTCTTATACAGGCAGTCCTGGTTACAAATGAGATAGGTTCTGTAGGTTTGTTTTTAAGTTGAATTTGTATATAGTTTGGAACAGGTATTTTGGCCTATTACCTGTAATAGCCTCTGTTCATACTGTGAGTCAAGCATCAGTTGGATGTTGATAACTCAGGGACTGCCTGTATTATCCTGTTTGATCCCAGTAACAATCCTTTGGGGAGGCTGGCAGTACTGATAATGCTCACCCCCAGCCCACATGTGGGAAATGCCCTCAGCATGTGGCTGGTGAGTGGTGGGGCTGGCTTTGAACAAGACCCTTCATGATGTGGGGCAAACCCAACGCCAGCCGCCGAGCCTACTGCCTTTCCTCTTTGACCCCACACTGCAGTCACCAGGCTGATGACTATGTTTATTACTGACAAAGCTGGTTCTTTGCACCCCCATGCCATTGCATACCTTTCCTCCCTCTGCCTGGAATGCACTTCTTTCCTGTCCACAACTCACACTTATCCCTTAAGGTACCTTCCATGAAGCTTTGTTGGATAAGCTCTTCTCTTCATTGTCCTGCCTTCTACAAGCAGAGCTAGTTGCTCTTTCAGCTGCATTTCTATCACCCTGTATAGATCCCTCTACTGTACTCTGGGGTCTTGTTTAACGTCAGTAATGTGCCCCCCTTGTACTCTAACATGCCATTGCATCACTTGCTCCAAATAGATAGTGGATGCATTCATGTTTGAAACAGTCAGAGCTTGTTGGCTAAAGCCATAGGAAGTGTTGGGGAATGATTTTGAGGGTTTTCCAAACATTGACAAAGGAATGTTCAGGTGACCATTAACATGGCCATTAGGATCCACTAAGGGTGGAACTCTTTGAAGCTACTAATAAACATCATCTAATAAGAAACAAAGGAATGGTGGGGGATTATCTTGTTTGCTTGGGCTGCTATAACAAAATACTACAGACTAGGTGGTTTAACCAACAGAAATTTATTTCTCTCAGATCTGGAGGCTAGAAGTCTAAGATCATATAGCCCATCAGGATTGGTTTCTAGTGAGGTCTCTCTTCCTCAGACATCCACCTTCATCAGCTTCCAGAGAAGCTTGAGGGCTCTAGTGTCTCTTCACCTTTTTATAAGGACACCAACCTTTTTGGATTAGGGCCCCATCCTTATGACTTATTTTATCTTAATTACCTCCTTAAAGGGCCTATCTCCAAATCCAGTCATGTCAGGGGTTAGGACTTACAGCAAATAAATGCTAGGGAGACATAATTTAGTCTATGTAAAAATGGTATACACAAAACCACATATTTGCTGGTTTCCTTGTAGGAATTTAAGTGTTTATCAAGGACAATTTCAACAATGGGTGATTTTCATGTTATACTCACTTTAGTTCATTGCCTCAGATTAGATGTGACTATCTTTCATGGCCTTCAGATTGTATCCTTATATAAATATCTCCTCCACTGGAATTCTAATAAATGTAGATCTGAGTGTTATTCATCTTTGTCTTCCAATTGATAGTTACTGAATAAACTTGTAGGGAAAAATTTCTATTTTCACCATCGGTATCTGAATGTAATCCAATATATTGGTCATAATTCTGATCACCCATTCTCTTTTGTTTGTAGCCACCACTGGTCCAAGCAATCTTTAGCGGTGATCCCGAGGAGATACGGATGCTCATCCATAAGACTGAAGATGTGAATGCTCTGGTAAGAGATGCTGGGTTTGTTAGCCTGGATCAGGGAAGGGCTCTTAACACTTTCTGTACCATGGACTCCTTTGGTATCTGGTGAAAGCTTTGGACTGCTTCTCAAAATACTGTTTTTGAACATACAATAAAATACATAGGGTTAGAAAGGAAAAAGATTACAATAGAACTCCTATAGTTGACCACCTCTTTACATTGACCACCTCCTTAAATTGACCTAATTTTCACAGATATACATACACCATGTGTATGTATTAGTGCAGTTGACCTTGATCCTTATGTTGAGCCTTCATGTGTTGACCAGTTTGTTGACCATTCACTTGGGTGGTCAACTTATAAAGGTCTTATGATATACTGAAACAGAGTTATCCAAATGTTGAAAATCTAATTTTTGCTTTTCTATCAACACACTTAAACAAAATACAGCAAAACATCTAATAATGACCAAACTAATGATGAGCATAATAAACATTTTGAGTTGTCTGCAACAATTCTATGATGTGAACATACCTGTGATTTCTATTGGTGACAGAAGAAATAAGGTACAACTGATATTACTGTGGTTTGTTGCCTATATTCATCATGGAAGGAAATGTTAATTTTCAATTAGAAGTCAGTGAAAATAAAGATGTAATGTATAGAATGACTGCCTTATAGCAGGGGTTGGCAATCTGTGCTCTGACATACATTTTTTTCCTATAGACTTCCTGCTAAAAATAGTTCTTATTTTTTAAATAGTTGGAAAAAAATCAAGAGGAGCATATTTTGTGATGTGAAAATGACAAATTCAAATTTCAATGTTCATAAATAAAGCCTTGTAGGAACACAGCCATGCTTGGTCCTTATATGTTATCTGTGGATGGATCTGCACTGTAACAGTGGAGGCGAGCAGTTGTGTCAGAGACTTTTCGGGGCCCTCAAAGCCCAAATTAGTTAATATCTGGCTCTTTAGAGAAATAATTTGCTGAGCCCTGTGCTAAAGGGTCTGTGAGCCTGGGACCAACTGGGTGAAGTAGGCATTCTGTGTACCCTCTGAAGTCACAGGTAACATGGTAGGTATGTGCACTGGTGCACGTATATACATTTTTCTGTGAAAAGGCATTTCATCTGTGACCTCCAAAAGATTAAGAGCCATTGGATCTGGAAAGTCTTGCAATAAACAACCTAACCTGCAATTAAGAAAGGAAAAAAGATCAAGTCAATGATTTACCCTTTTCACAGTTTCCTAGACCTAGATTGAACAAGCAATTACATACAGTACATGCTACTAATTCTCTTAATGTAATTCAATTGCAAAATACTCAAGTCTGTCAGGGAAAGGAGTTCTCTTTAAAATCTCTAGTGTTAAATAGAAATAACAGAAATCATCAAATACATATTCAGTCTGAGGGGAGCTTCACCCGGGGAGGTAAGTTATGTCTGAAGCTGTATCACCCTGTTGGCTAAATGCTTTATTCAGAGGACGAGTCATTTGCTGCATGCAGCTCATTGCTCCATGGCAGTGCAGGTTGGTGTGGTTTTTTTGTAAAAGCTTCTGGCAGCTTCCCCCTAGCTGGCGCAGAAAACAATGGGACAAAGTTTTGTGACATTTTTGCAAGGTAAGCAAAATGACGAGGCCAGGGACAGACTACTCAAGTTGGGCATTTGTCCAGGGCCTGTGGGATGTGACTTGTACTTCTGAAGTGAGGCCAGGCGAGCAAGCTTGCTGTCCAGCGTTCCAACAAGACTGGAATCCACCCAGCCTGTTTGGCGGCTGTGGCCCAAGCCCAGGCAAGCCTAAGGCAAGGTTGCTATCTTTTTCTGATGATTGTAAGCAAACAGAATTTTTTTGCTGTCCCTCATGCCAAAATGATTGTACTGGCCTCTGAATGGCCTTTATTTCCCTTTGGGAATGTGACAAACAGTTGTTGGCTGGTAAAGGTTAGAAGAGCTTAACTTTAGTTGCCACCCAGCTGTACCACTGAAGAAATTACACAGGTTAACTACTGTAACACGTAGACCTCTAAATCTGTATATGCATGTTTATTCCCCCTTGAAACAGATTAGAGGGGTGGCTCTTTTCTGCACAGGGTCCCAGGTACCAATATTTAATTTCTAAGATCACCATACAAATTGTCTGTAGTCCTACCAACCTGAAGGACAAAAAGAGAATGGAGGAAAAACATGAAGGGTTTTTATGGGTCAGCTTAGAAGTGGCATACATCATATCTGCTTGTAGTCCATTGACCAGAGCTCAGAAGTCAGCCACACCTAATTACAAGGAAATCTGGGGAATTAGTGCAGCTGTGTGTCCCCAAAGAGTCGGAGAGCATGGATTTTGGTGAGTGAATAGCAATTGTGGCCACATCAGGTTTTTGTCTTAAAAGAATTCTAGAGAATCCCAGAGAATATTAGCTGTCTCTCTATATACACGGGGATTGGTTCCTGATTGTGGCCACATCAGGTTTTCATCTTAACAGAATTCTCTAGAGAGTTCCAGAGAATACCACTATTTGTCTGTGAGGTGTCTTGTTCATTCCACAGTGAATTACTGAGTTGAGTCTCTGTGCTAAGTGCCAGGGACAACAGTGGGGAGTTCTTCCCCTCCTGGGGCTTACAACATGGCAGAGAGGCCAACAAAGGAGAAATCAGTTCAGGATGCTATGTAGGGGTAAGTTAATCATGAGAATCCGATAAAGTGATGCCTGAACTGAGGCCTGGGGATACGTAGGAATTTGCTTTGATATGGGCTGCTGGGTGTGTGGCAGCAGAGAAGGAGAATGGAGGGAGGGAAAAGAATCGATGAATGTGAGAGATTGAATGAGTGAAGGAATGCACTCAGGAGTGCCTGAGTTCTTCAGGTTGATGGCAGGTAATTTGGGGACCACAGTCCCTTTAGACTCCCTCACCTCCCTGGTCACCTCCCTCAGGTGGGGTCATTTGGCCCCATGCTCTCAGCAGGTGTGTCCTCAAGGTCATACTTCCTTCTTGCCAGTGCTCCTTGGGGACTGATACATTGACTGTTTTATCAGGGGTGGGTTGGGTACTTTAGGGAAGGCAGTTGTTAGCAAAGGGCATAGAGAGATGGAAGACACATAAGACTGAAAATCTAAGCATTTCAGGAGGGAAGAGGTGCTGATAACCAGAACATTTAAATGTCAAGCAAGGGAAACAGTGGGGGAGCCACCCATTACTTGGAAGACATTTGTCCTGTTCTCTTCTCATCCTTTGTTTTTCTCTCTTTCTCTCCCTTTATTCACTTAATCTTTCTTTTCTGTCCCGAATTCTGATTTTTTTGCCTTTCTTTCTTCTTCCCACTTCCCTTTGTCTTTTGATGGGTCACATATTCTTAGGTGTAAGTTACTCTTTAATTAGCTGATCCTGATATAGAAAGCAATCTCATCCAGCTTGGCCTCTCTGTTATTCCAAACTTTATTTTCTGCTGACAGTATTCATGAATCTTGCGCTTTAACCAACCAAATCACTCAACCCACTGGGATTTATTCTATTCTCTCTCCCTTTTCTCATTTTGCACTTCTGATCCCATCTGCCCTTGTGGATATTCTTTCCTCCATTAAGTTGTTGTAATTCTCACTTCCTTTCTGCTGTGTTCTCTACCACCTCCCCTACCTGGCCAAAGAAATCTGCCTCTTTTCTCAGCTCCCACACTTCTTTGCACCTCATCGATCACTTTTGACCACTACTTGAGTTATTTATATCTGTGTTTTAGTTTTGAGGAGCTACAGTTGATGCTTGAGCAATATGGCCTTGAACTGTGCAAGTCCATTCATACATGGATTTTTTTCAATCAAACATGCATAGAAAATATAGTATTCCTGGGATGTAAAACCCATGTACATGGAGACTGTCTGTATACATGGGTTCCCCAGGGTTCACCAGGGGACTGAGTATGTGTGGATTTTGGCATACGTGGGGGCCCAGAAACCAGTCCTCATGTATATGGAGGGACAGCTAATATGCTCAATGACATGGTTCTATGTCATCCATTCTCTTTTCTCCATTACCATATCCAGTCCTTGCAGCACATATTGAGTGAGTGATTCAAACCCAATTTACTGCTTATGATGAGCCAATGTGTGATGACTATTATTTCATTTCTCCCAGTAAGGACAAATTGTTGTACAAAGGAAGCATCTGTCATAGTGACCCTCAGGTCTTAGTTGTAAGATTGGCAGTTCTCTTTGTAAGACTGATTGATTTGGGGAGCCCCTGAAGGACCAGGAGGGCTACTCTGATTCTTTCTGAGGTTTCTATGCCTAGTGGCATGCCAGGTACTAGAAAGTGGGATGACCACTGTATACTCTTAAATCCATTTACATCGACTTAGGTGTGACTGACAGCTAGAAAGATTTTAGCAGCCTCCATCTGACTAACCAAATTGAGCTTCAGGTGGAGAATATCACCTGAATTCAAAATTTCAAAGAATCCAGAGATTCTGAAAAGTATACTTTGAACTCAGCAAAAGCACACTGGATCTGGGGGAGACAAATTGGCACCTGTCAATAGCAAGTGACAAAGATGGGGAGGAAACCAGGCCATGTGGGGAGAGGCTGAAGAAACTGGTGATGTTTTAGATTTGGAAAGGACAAGAGACCTGTCCTACATAGTTCAAACTAATGCTGTCAAGATATAATGGAACTAGACTTGTCATCACGTCATGAGATTGTAAACTGCAGAAAATAAGATTTCAGCTCCAAAGATAAGTGTTAATTTAATAGATAGAACTATCTAAAAAAGTGATAAGTTGACTTGGTAAGTATTAAACTCCCTGAAAGAACACTAGACTGGAGGTTTTAAAGGTGACTATTCTCCTATCTTGCGCCCTTGGCCAACATTGCTAATGGTTCATGGCACTTTTTTTCCTTCAAGTCTTAGAGATCAAAACATCTTTTCAAGATAGCACTATTACATTGAAGTTGGCATGTAAATTGAAACCTCTTTCCCATGCCATGGATTTGGTGATGTTTACAGAAACTTACAACAGTGAGAGACTACAGTTCT